CCATTTCCGCGACAGCCGGCTCCGTACGCATCAGGTCCAGCATGTCCGGAAGCACCACAATGGGGTCTGAAGCCGAGTCGCCCTCCATTAGCCAGCCTCTTTTGCTTCAGCTTCTCCAGTCGAGCATGCTCCTGGTTGCGGATGGACCAGCGGCGATCACCGTCTCTATAGCTCATAGTTCCGCACTTTTAAAAATGAGGTATATTGTGATTTGCACGAACCATGAATGGTCCTTATATAGCCCTATGGAAGCGAATACCTAGGCGAGAATCACGGAAGAAATTGTAACTGACGTGATTGAACCGGATTAGACGGATGGCGTGAATCCCTGTCAGAGATTAGTCCCATCAAATCCGCCTGGGAAGAGCAAGATTCGCACGCCTCGCAGAAAAGATTAGATTCACTCGAGATATGGGGAATCTTGCAGATGTCAGACTGAAAAAGGCCTGACGATGTGGCCGACCCCTCAACCAGTCGGCCGGAAGGATACACGACAAGCACGAAATATAGGACAAGGCGGAAAAATAGCATTTTATTGAGAAGATGGGGGTACAACGAGTCGGGAGCTTATTACAACCGGAAATAATTAAAATGCTCCTAAGTAAGCCCCTCGGAAACATGAAGCCAACACTGGTCGAGGTGATCACTCGCCGGGTGAAGAGGAGTCGCTTCCAAAGAACATTCCCCCCGATGGCCCAGGGGGAGAAGGACAGAATGAATCCCAGAAGGACGGCATGAGCGGTAGGTCCACAGGCTCCTCGTCATCAGGATACGTCTCCAAGTAACGAGCGCAATCCTCATCATTCATCAGGCCCGTGACTGGCCCGTCCGGGTCATCCAGTGGGATAGAGAACGTCATGCGAAAAGTCAATTGTTCAGGGACGGTCACCTCCACGAAGGACCCATCTTGAGAAGTCACCCTGGCGGTCGTTGGAGTCGGCAGACAGAGAAAAGATGGCACGACCTCTCGCTGAGGTGGGGTCGGCGGTTGAGGAGCTGAGGAGGTGGCACCAGCAGGAGATCTCCGAGAAGTCGGTCGAGGAGCTTTCTTCTTGCTTTCCCTCTCAGGTCGAGTCCGCTTCGAAGGAAGGGAGCGTCGAGGAGAGCCGAAATCAATTCGCTTCCCTTTTAGAGGTGAGCGACCCATGGTGGACCCGTGGATAAGATGAGGAGAGTAGGAAGCCATTTATAGGAGCTGCATAGAGCAAGGAGAATCCAAACGGTTCCGTTGAATCCGGAAAGATGGCAGAGAATCCGGGTGCCATAAGGGATATTGAATGCATGGATCCGGTGATTGAAAGAGACGATCAGTTACTACTTTTCCAAATCCGGATTAGCGAACCGGATGTGGAAAAGTGAGGGACTAGTTGATGGGGTGAGAACCCCAGCCCAAGAAGGGAATCCAAGACAAGGAACGTGGGCTAACAGTGAAAGAAGCCCAGTGAAAGCTTGGGCCGAGTCCAGGAGTCGGCCCAGGCCCAAGCCCATGAAGAAACGGCTCAGAGCCATTAAGCGAGCATTGAGAAGCCTCATTTAAAAGACCCGGCCCCGGAGCCGTTGGAGGCATTCAAGGCAGTACTCGGTCAGACCGTTACGGATTCAAGGAGCCGTTGGCCGATCCGGTAACGGCACCCAACAGCTCGGTGATTGTAATTAGCCTTGAAGTCAGCCATTAATGGCCTTCAAGTCGGTAGGAGGGGAGCCTGCTATATAAAGGCTCCTCCACCCTTGTAATCCAGACAAGTTGATCCCGGGAGAAAAAAGAGACACACTCGAAGCCATTAAAAAGATTTCCATTTCTTTTACAATCTTGTGTGAAAGGTGAATCCACCAACTAAGGTTGTGTTGGACCTCCCTGGGCCCGAAAACCCAAAAACCAACAGTGACTAAAATAATTTATTCAAACACCAATCAATCGCAAAAATTTTTAATGGACTGAAAATGGCTATTTTTGAATTTCTTAAAATTGGATTTATAAAATAAAATTTTGGGTTGTTACAAAGGAACAAACCACACATACAAGCATATCAACATCAAACTAGCATGCTTATCAAACGGGTAAACCAAAATTAGTTCCAAAGAACGTTCAAGACTCACATTAGCCCAACGAATCACAAAGATGGACCCTTAGCATGATTCAAGACACCAAATCCTACATGGATTCCTAACATACCGTTCTAGACATACGAAACATCAAGAAGACTCACAAATAGCCCAATAAATCAACATCGGGAGGTCAAAACATCAATACCGAGGAAAAAGAATCACGGGGAACAAATCCCCGCCAACAACCAACAACGTTCCCCCGCGAGTGGGGCCACGGGTGGACCTCTACCCATGGTTCCGCCCGCGGGTACTCACCCACGAGAACCACATACCCCGCGGGTGGGGCGGCGGGTAGGCCTCTGCCCGCTGTTCCGCCCGCGGGTACTACCTGTACTCCAAAACATCCCTTCGGGGATTTTCAATAACAATGCCAAGTTCAAGTCCAAAACACTCAAAATCTCACACACAACAATAATATGACTTGAACCCAAGAAATAGCCAAGCAATGGCATTCAAGAACCCTAAGAACAAGCTCTAAACATGCATCACCACAAGATAATGCATCAAATCTCACAAATCAACACAAGAATCACAAGTAGAAGCCAAGAATCATCATATAAGTAAGAAAATAGATTTTGTAAAGCATGGGTTACCTTTGTAGCCTTACACTTCCACTTATCACCCTTAAAAGCCTTTCCTAGAGCTCCTCTTCCACACCAACTTCTCACACATAAGAAAACACAACAAAGATCCAATCTTTAGAAAAAGACACCTAAAAGAAGGTTAAAAACACTAAAAAGCCAAGGATCTTACCCCTCCATATGCTCAAGATGAAGAAAGTAGGAACCTTGGGAGAAAATCTTGCAAGACTTGGATGCTCAAATTCTAGCTTGGAGAAGAAGCTAAATCATTTAGAGAGAGGCTAGAGGTTTTTGTGTTTTAGGTTGAAGGGTGAATGAAATGAAAGAGTCTTGCTAGGTTAGCGTGAATCACAATTCTTAGGTAGAAAGACATTCCTACCCTTACTAATGTTGGAAAGACAAGGGAACAAGGGCACAATTCAAGAAGCACAAGGTACAACCTTTTGACTTAAGTGACTAGTCAAAATCTAGTCCTTCGACTATTAAATTTCAGGATTTTAGAAATAGATTAGCAAGGAAACTTGGATTAATTCTTCAATTAATCCCCGATTAGTGTTTGGATTTTACGGGGTGTCACAGATGTTCAATTATTTACGAAAATGTCACCGTATTTTTTTTATCCATTAGATCTGGACACGTGTCGCGCGCTGATTCATTCGCATATTCCCTCCTGGGCGCTTCATTCGCACCTATATATATATATATATATATATATATATATATATATATATATATATATATATATATATATATATATATATGGTGATGCTCAAATGAGAATTCCTCATCCCACAAGAACTTGCGAACTTGTACATAAATGCTAAATTGCTAAAAAAAGACAAGGTCAAATTTCTAAATATTAATATACGAGAATCAACTTAGTTTTCCATGCATCTATTTCTTTAATGTAACAAAACTAACTACACATTTACACCAAATGTGTGTGTGTGTGTGTGTGTGTGTTTTTTTGCAAACTAGCATAACTAACCCAATTGCACATGAGACACTACTTAGCCAAAAAGAACTATACAAGCAATGAAAATGATGACAATGACAAACCTATCCTAAAGCGAATTAACAAAACTTAGAGTAATTCTAACCAAAAGTAGTATCTACTACCTAATACTATATAAACTAAAATAAGTATTTAGATAATTATTTTTAGAAAAATGTAAATTAAACATTAATTTTAATGTCAACTATAATGATCTTCTCATATATAATCTTGCGTTGATATACTTTGAGTTACTTATTTAAATATGAATATTATTGGGCATTAAATCAGTCGCGGAATGCGCGTATAAAACTAGTAATTAGATATAGTGATCTAGTGGCACGAAGTGGCTCTCCCGAATGGGAGGTCGAGCGGTATTGACCCTTTGTAAGCTCATTCTAATCTCTGATGAGTGATAACTAATAATGAAGACACATAATTCATATTCATAATGTATAGAATTTATGTTCATAATACACAGAATTCATATTCATTACATCATAGTATAGAATTTATGTTCATAATGCTTCTATGCATTATGAACATGAATTATGTACAATATAAAATCAAATTATGTGTGATGGACCAGAGTTCGCAGTGCAATGTGGACTCGGGTCCACAATATAACGATCGATGAACCGCGGAGCGTTATGCTGTGCAACCGTGTGCACCATGCATGGTGCACACGGTTGCAAAACGACGCCGTTTCACTATAAAAAAAAAAAAAAAAAAAAAAAAAAAAAAAAAAAAAAAAAATCTCGTTCGAATTGTAGTTAACGGCATTAGGCGATTTCATTTCGTATTCAAACAGTAGGATATATCCATAAATTTATAACTATATATCCATAAATTCATAACTATATATCCATAAATTCATAACTATATATTCAGAATTATATAACTATATATTCATAATTTGACAACAGTACATTCAGAAATAATAACTACACATTCATAATTTCATATCCATATATTCATAATTTCACAACTAGACATTTATAATCACATAACTATATATTCAGAATTCTTAAAGTGCTTGTTCACAGAGAACTATATCCATAATTTCAAAACTACATATCCACAACTTCATAACTATATATCCATAACTTCATAACTATATATTAATAATTACACGTTGATTGGGATTTTTGTAAAAAAAAAATAATAATAATAATAAAAAAAAATAAAATTGATTGGTGGAATTAAACGATAGTGATACCGTTATTCTATCATATTAAAATAGTATCGCTTTGCAACTGTGTGCACAACACAACATAATTTGCGATGAACCGCCTAACGGCCCTAACCAGTGATTTTGCGTTTGGGCGTAGACTAATAAATATTCCATCTACAAAACTGTTATGCGAGTCCAAACATCAAACACCTTATAGGCGCTAAAATGGAGACATCTTCTTCCACATCGTATACTGCGGAGACTGTCCTTCGAACCCTAATCACCAGAGGCTGGTCTTTCCGCGACATTGATCAAGTCAAATTACTCCTTTCAGCTCAAGCTAGCTCGCCCACCATTGATTCAATCGAATCAGAACTTATCAATTTGGACTTGCGATCCATCGGCGGCAAATCATTACCAGACTCTTCTTCTCTTCGCAAACTTTCTCATCTCCGGGGCCCTTTAGTCCTTCAAGTACTTCACTTCTCTTTCTCGTTCTCTCTGTCTAGTTTCTGTGCATGCAAGTAATTAAGGTTTATTTATTTATTACAAATAGTGTGATTGTAATGTTGATAAGATATGTACTTATATTTTTCTGCTGATTGGCATTGTCCTTCACTCTTTGCATCTGGCCTTAACTAAACTCGACCTCATGATTTATTTCTATTAATTATGACATTTTGGTTGCTGTTGCAAGTCTTCTAGTGTCTGGACAAAACTTTTCTGAATGAACTTCGGAGTTGGCAGCGTTTGTCACCAAAATGAATGGATTAGCTTGAGTCAGAAGCAAATAAAGTAATTGTACAAGATTCTGAGTGATATTTGTATAAAAGCTTAACCGTGATAGCCTTCATAGTTAATGTTCAACAATGATTTTGGTTGTGTTTGGTTCGCATATGGGAATCGGAATCAGAATGAGAATCAAATACTTAGTAATGGTAATGGATTTTGGTGAAAGTATTTTGCATGTTTGGTAGCATGGTTGCAATAGGCGCTAGGCGCTAGTCGGGCGGTAGAGTAGCGCCTATCGCCTAGACGGCCTAGGCGGTCGCCTAGGCGGCTAACTGAAAAAAATGAAAAACAGTGCAAGTGTATAGGTGCATATATGTCATATTATACATACATATACATACATATATATATATATATATATATATATATATATATATATATATATATATATATATATATATATATATATATATATGTCATATAAATGAAAAAAATTAGCAAGTTCGAGTCGATTGGGTTAACTCGGTTAACTCAACAGAAATTAACTCGGCGTAATCGGCCGAGTTAGGCGCTAGGCGGCCGGTCTCTTAGGCGGGAGCCTAGGGGGGAAATCGCCACGGCCTAGAGGCGCCTAGCGCCTAGGCGCCGATTACTCGGTGCCTAGGCGGGATTTTTGCAACCCTGTTTGGTAGTGGGTGGAATTGGAATGATTACCAATATTGTGATGTTTGGTTATGTATGACCCTATAGTGGGAATAAAGGTTTTAAAAATACAAAAACAAAAAATCAAGACAATTGATCCTAATATAATGACATCCAAAGCACCAATATGAACAAAATAATCAAAACAAAAAGTTGTCCAACCAAACAAGATGGAATGATACCCGTTTTTAATTGAAGGCGTAATCAAATCACATTATTGTGTTCTAAAAAGTTGTCCAACTAAACACTAACTATGATTTTGATTCTTAGTCTTGGTGTGTAAACCCATGAACCAAACACATCCTTTATTCCTTCTTGAATCATAACATGTCTTTATGAAAATAAATAGGAATTATCTGTTGATCATGGACGGTTCGGTTGAAATGTTGAGTGTATAAACCATAGGGGAAAACACTGCTATGTTTTACTCTTAAGAAGACCTCCCAAATTCTTAGAAGCTTAGAATCCAACTTGGAGGCAAAATGTTCACAGAAAAATGATTAGAATGCTGATGGTACTAAATTTGTGGTAAGTTTCTCTATTAGTGTCATATGACAAAATGTTGACAGAAACTTGGTACTAATGATTTTAACCAATAACAACTCCAGTCACATATTATGGGATTTTCAGCGAGTGTCTTTCTTACTTTTCTAGTTAATATATAACATATCAGTTCTGACTTTTCCTTCTTGTAAATGGGGTTATGACTAAGTTTAGTATAGTTGTGCCTTTCCACATGATAATTATGCATTTTCTGCTTAGCTTCAAGTTTCAACCCTACTTTTCCTAACGTATGCCCACCCTACTTTTGTTTTTTGTTTTGTTTTGTTTTTTTTTTTTTTTATATACTCCATAATTTTTAATGTTTATTTGTTTTTGTTTTTGTTTTGTTATTATTATTTATTTATTTATTATTGTTATTTTGTGGTTGTAGATATCTTCTGTTAGAGATATATCTTGCAGCAAAATGACTGAGAGTTCAGGAAATACAAAAAATCGGCGTCTTTTGAGATTGAAGCTCACTGATGGACACTCTGAAGTAACTGCTATAGAGTACTCTTACATACCGACAATTCCTGATGATGTTATACCTGGCACTAAGGTATTCTGTATTTTGAATGAAGATTAGTCTGATATTTTGTGAGTTATGGTTTCCTTCATGGTAGACTTTCCATTTCTTTCAGATCCTTATCAATTTCAAAATCTGTGTATGCAATGGTTCATTATTATGGGTATATATTGACTCAACTCTACAGCAAAATTTGGTGACCACTCTATGACTCTATCATGTACTTGACTATCCATGGACCTCATGTTCTTTTGTGTGTGTTGTATCATTACATGCGAACTTCTTTCATAACATTCTCCAACATTCATGTATGCATGGAATTATTGTAAAATATGTTTGGTGGCTCCAATTAGTTAGCATAATTATCTTCCATAGTAGGTACATTGGGAAGGCGTACTGGCACAATTTAATGAATTAGTACTAATTGAATTGCACTCTTGGTTCACCGAGTTCAGTTAGTTTCCAGTTCATGATATTATAACTCCTGAGAAATGCTCTGGGCGTTCTTTAGTTTCATGATCCTAACTATTTGTACCTCAACTTGGCTACTAAAATCAGGATCACTTGTTTTTCTTGCAAATACCTGGCCTCTCTAACTTATTTACAATTTGTGTTCCTGGCAGGTCCGCTTGGAAAATAAAACTGTAGTTCGTAGTGGTATTGTATGTTTAAATGCCAAAACAATTGTTGTTCTAGGTGGTCTTGTTGAGTCACTTTATGAGGAATGGCAAATGAACCAAAAATATTCAGGTGTACCGCGCTCATCTTTGAGACAATTGCAAGAAGAAGGCTATTCTGGTCCTCCACCATTTGAAAAGTTGCAAGTTAGAGCTTATCAACAGAACCTTGCTCAGCAGAAGAGAGATTCCCGTAAGTGTTATGATACTAATCTGGTATACATAAATATAAATGTATATAATATACATATACATATCTATGTGTGTGTATATGACTATATGGGTGTATTATATATGCATGTATGTACACTTGGTCCCTGCTGTTTGATGGTATATAATCTGATGACAACTTGACTTATATCTCTTTGTACACATTTTGGTCTGAGCTTTATGGAACTAGTCTTGGTTCTTGTCTAATGGGTAGATATTTTAAATGCATGGTCAGGTGTTTTATCTGTGAAGTGTCCACTCTGTAGTGAAGTTTTATCTTTTTGTCTCTTCTAAAGATGATTTTGCTGAAGCATTTAAATATCTTTACTGAACCAAATAGTGAAATATTTGCTGTGCAGAGTTTTCCATGTCTTCCTCTAAAAGTTCTGTATACAAACCTACTGGAAAAAATGATAGTTCTATGACCCCCCAGATCCATAATGATTCAAGGAATGATACCATGAGTGATGATCTGAAGCAACCTACTCATTCTGAAAAAAATGAAGAAAAGCCAACCAGCTCTGAAGCAAGACCAAAAGAAGGTGTGTCCCATATTAGTTCTGGTACAATGCAAGTGATGTTTTCTATTTAAAAAAAAAAGAGACAAAATTGCAATTAATAATCTTTAAGGAATTGTCCCTTGATACTTGAGAATAGCAAAGTGATTCTTTATCAAGGGAAAACAAGAAAAGAAGTGGTATATTCATCTGAATAAGCAAGGAAATTATTGTGATTTCAATTGCTTGCTCTTAACTTCTAATTTGACATAAATGATTGAAAGTCTTGTAATTTAAGCACTTGATGTCCACTGAAGATGGTGTTTCTCAATCTTTAACAGTTGCAGAATCTTTTCCTGTTCAAAACCAAGCAGCTTCACAAAAACTGCTTCAGAAAATGAGCCAGCCTACCAGGGGTAATCATCGCACAAGAGGTCAAAGACATAGGGGGAAGGGAAAAGAAGAAGACTCACATCTTCTTACTCTTGATGAATGGGAAAGGAGTAAAACAGGAAACTTTTCAGGAACTCAAAAAATTTCTGATATTAGCCAGGACGAGGATCTTGCAAGGCAGCTTCAAGAGCAGTTTGATTTGGAAGATGTTCATGTAAGCTATTTCATGCAACGATTTTGTCTGCCTTTATAATCTGCTCTACCTTTTTTGGACTTTATCGTGGTGATGGATCTACCATCATGGTCAAATTCATCTTGGGGTTATCCCTATACTTCCATTATTGTTACCAAAGTAAGAAGGGGAAATTGGAATTCAATTTTTTTTCATAGTGGTGCTGCACTCAGCACTACACTCCTATATTGAACTTGGTTTCTCGGTCTCACCAAATGCTACTATATACACAATGTAGATATTGATTTTTAAATAGATTCTCTTTTCATTAGAGAGTTCCATGGTGGTTTGAATATGATATTTGTCATCACTATTTATTTAGGTACAAAAAGATTCTAGCACAACAGATGCAGAAAATATAAGGCTGAGCATGTTCAGATTTGACAGAGATGATGCAAGAGCTCATGGCACAACGGGGTTTAGAGGAAGAGGAAGGGGAAGAGGAAGAGGAAGGAGGGGGGGAGGCAGAGGGAGAACTTGATTTTGTTATACCGTTCAGCCTCCTGTCATGTTTTCTCAGGTCTGTCTTTTATGACAGGCAATTTGTATACATGAAAACAATCCAACATATACAAACATTTCAATCTCAATGTTGGCAAGCATTTGTTGCATTTCCTTGCAGTTGTTTATTTTCATCTGGAAGCTTAGTTAACACCAAAAATGAAGGACAGGCTGGGTTTCTCCACCATCCTATTTGGCTATCTCACTGGTAATTGACTTGGTTACTCGTCTACTTCATTATTCTGCTACATCCAGCCTTATTACTCAAACGTAGAATTTGTTTCTAGTTTGTCTTGCTCTCTTGTGTGCCTTGGGAATATGTGGGGTTACAAAGTTCGGCAAATTATACTATAGACCAGGTTCTACCTTGTATTGTGGATCTTGGTTCAAAAATAACCTTCAAATTCTGTACTTGCAACCGTGTTTGTACCTGTAAACAAATTGAAGGCACATTATATGGTAATTACATACACAACATTATAACTACAGATACATAAATTGTTAACTGCAGGTATAGAATATATTAATTGTAGACACATGATATGTTAACTAATATTTTATGTGTCTATAGTTAATATATTTTGTACTTGCAATTAATCATTTGTGTGTCTGTAGTTATCACGTTATGTGTCTATAATTATCATGTTATGTGTCTTCAATTTGTTTATAGGTATAAAAATTATTAATGCAGATACATAATTTTTGGACCATGATCGGGTATAACAATTGATAAAGCTCTAGGACGGATGTTAGCTGGACTTGAGATTTTTGGCGTTGGAGTAATGCAAATTTGATAAAGCTGTTTCATATTTATTTGGAAAAATGATTCTTGCACGTACATATTTGGGTCAATGCCATGAAAAAATGTATATATAATACCCAAAATCGTCCTCGACTATAGTGGTTTTTCTCAATTTCGTCCTAAACGACTTTGGTGACCTAATATTGTCCCAGACTTTTGTGTTTCGCTCAATTTAGTCCTCCATTTGTTATTCCGTCAAATTGGTGTTAAATTAAGGGACAAATCAGTAATGTCAATATTGATCTCTCTTTACTTTCAACTTGTGAAGTGCGAAATTCCTCTTTCTTGTACGAATTACACCCAGAATTACTCCCGGACCTGCAAATCAAATTTTATATTCGCAATTTTAGGAGTAATTCTAGGAGTAATTCGTAAAAAAAAAGGGATTTCGCAGTTCACATGTCTATGAGTAAAGTGACGCCAATATTAAAATTACTGAATTGTCCATTTATTTAACACCAAATGGACAGAATAATAAATGAGGGACTAAATTGAGTAAAAACACAAAAGTCTAGGACTAAATTGAGCGAAACACAAAAGTTTGGGACGATATTAGGTCACCAAAGTCGTTTAGGACGAAATTGAGAAAAACCACTATAGTCGAGGACGATTTTGGGTATTAACTCTCTCTCTCTCTCTCTCTCTCTCTCTCTCTCTCTATATATATATATATATATATATATATATATATATATATATATATATATATATATATATATATATATATATATATATATATATCTAACCCATTGTGATTGTGGTGCTTCTTTTTTTTTTAAATACTTATAATTCTTTACAAGGTAGTATCTGTCTTATGCTTTCTCAAATATTTTCAGTCTAAAAAATTTAAGTCCCTACCACCAGAGTTTGAACCTTTGAGCATCCACTTGAATATGTAATCGGAATGTCATCGCACTACATGGTAGTTGACACTGCGGTGCTTATTTACTTGTTCCAGGTCCGTCAAAGAAGACAAATATGTGAAGGATATCTGTGGCTGACATATTTTTGTATATAATTAAATCTAGTTGCATTCCTTTTATGTAGCATTGTTAGACTGCTTGTTACAACAACCTACTAACTACTCATTATCTTCTTTCCCTTGTATGCTATTTAAAGTTGATTGTTTTACATCAATAATATCAGTTAAGTTCATAATCTATTATGGTATCAGAGCCTAATTTCTCCTACGAAGTTTTTTTCCTTCCCCTTCCAAATGGCTTCCGCTACTACAACCACAATAGTCCAATTAAATGTCCCAACACACTTCCCAATTAAACTCACGACCGTGAATTTCCCGGTGTGGCGGCGTCAAATTCATGCCACACTTGTTGGGTTTAATCTCTTTGGCTATGTTGATGGTACAACCAAGGAACCAGCCAAATTCACTGATCGTGCTCAAACTTCTGTCAACCCGGCTCATTTAGCTTGGTATCGTCAAGACCAAGTTATTGTCAGTGCTCTACTTGGGAGCTGTACTGACACCATACAGCCCCTTATCTCCTCGGCTACGACAGCCCATGATGCGTGGCAACGTCTTGTTGCTAGTTACGCTAGTGCCTCACGAGGACGTATCATATCCCTCAAGGCCAAACTCACAAGGAATCCGCGAGGGTCTCGGTCCATCACCACTTATCTCAATGACATGCGAGCCATAGCTGATGATTTAGCGTTGGCTCAGTGTCCCGTATCTAACGAAGATCTAATCGTCTATGTGTTGACTCAGCTAGGCGAGGATTACAGTTCCATCACGTCGGTCATCCGCGTTGGTGAGAAACCTCTTTCTTTTGGCGAGTTGGCAGATGTGCTGACTGACCATGAACGCCAATTGACAGACGCAGATGCTTTGCGTCATCCCTTTTTACTACTGCTAATGTTAGTCAACGCACCTGGTTACCCCCGCGGCACAACCACCAGTCCAACACCAACCGGAGGGCCTGCAACAATAACAATCATTATGGCTCCAATCGGCAACAAGGGGAACACAATCGCTCAGGTATCGTCTGTAAGTTTTGTTATCTTACGGGTCATGAAACAAGGGTGTGTCGCAAGCTAGCCCGATTTTTAAAGGAGCATGATGTTCCTCCTGTGCAATCCTATGTATCTCCTACCGCCAATTCAATGACTAGGGCTTCTCCTTCCTGGATGTTTGATAGTAGGGCATCTCACCATGTGACACCAAGCCTCGCTCCTCTGCAGAATTTCGCTGAGTATAGTGGATCGGATGAAAAACGCCTGGGTGACGGTAATTCCTTACAAATATCCCATATTGGCCAATCTATCATTCCCACTCCTTCTAATGTTCTCACTCTAGATAATGTCTTGCGTGTCCCACAGTTACACACTAATTTAGTTTCTGTTTCCCAGTTATACAAGACTAATCGTGTGTCTGTTGAATTCTTTGATTCTCATTTTCTGGTCAAGGAACTTCGAACGGGGATTCCGCTGCTACGGGGGGTGAACATTAATGGTGTCTATTTTGGACCAGTTGCCTCTCACCCAACCGTTCATGCTACGCAGTTGGCTTATTTGTCTCAGTGGCACCAACAACTTGGCCACCCGTCGAATAAGGTGTTGCAACGCTGTAATGTTCCAGTCTCCATGTCATCGCTGCAATGTTCATAAAAGTCATAAACTGTCTTTCTCTAAAAATACACTTGTTAGCACTAAACCTTTGCAACTTGTTTATACTGATGTGTGGGGGACCTACTGAGAACTCTATTGATGAATTTCGCTATTATGTCATTTTTGTAGACCACTTCTCAAAATACATTTGGCCATACCCCATGAAACGTAAATCGGATGTGTTTATAATATTCATTCATTTCAAATAGCTAGTGGAAAAATATTTTAGCCTGTCAATTATTTCTGTTTACTCAGGTAATGGGGGCGAGTTCATGAGACTTGGGCCATTTTTTAATACTCACGGTATCTCTCATTTCACCACCCTGCCACACACTCCTGAGCACAATGGTGTCACAGAGCGACGACACAGGCATGTCGTGGAAACTGACATGTCTCTTCTTCACTCCGCGTCTTTGCCATCCTCATACTGGACCTACGCCTTTCAGACAGCCGTATATCTTATTAATCGGCTCCCTACTCCAATTTTAGGTAATCAATCCCCATTTTATGTCTTGTTCCAACAATTGCCTAATTATGCCAAGTTACAACCCTTTGGTTGCCTGTGTTTTCCTTGGTTGCGTCCCTATACCACCAAGAAACTACAACCAAAGTCACGTCCATGTATTTTCCTTGGCTACTCGAACACCCAATCCGGTTATAAATGTCTAGATGTTGGTTCGAATCGTATTTATGTATCTAGGCATGTTAGATTTGTGCCTCATATGTTTCCTTATAACGATTTGCCGAAGTCATCTAACAACTTACCTTCTGCTTCTAATGATTCAGAATCACGTCATATTTTGTGCAAGTCGTCTCCTTTGTCTACACAGGTAGACCCCGTGGGTGTTCCAACACTCGTTCCAACACCTGCTCCAACTCCAGTTCAAAGTCCAGTTCCAACTCCAGTTCAAAGTCCCGTTCCAACTCCAGTTCCAACTCCGATTCCAAGTCCAGTTCCAACTCCGGTTCCGACACCAGTTCCAACACCATCACCGTCGGCTGCGTCCAATCCATCGTCTCCCACTGTCTCAGGAAATGGCCAACATGCATCCCAATCCGTGTCTGACTCACAACCTGCCTCCACCTCCGAAACGTCTCAACCGTTGAATAATGTTCGTCGTTTCACTCGGGAGCGTCATCCTAATCCTAGGTATTCCGATTATGTCATTAACCACACCACTTCCCTCCCTTGCCTCCTGCTTTAGAACCTTCTACCGTCGCCCAGGCTCTTAAAGATGCTCGGTGGAGGAAAGCAATGGATGAGGAGTTTGAAGCGCTGCAACGTAACAACACGTGGCAACTGGTTCCCCGCGGAGCGGCTGTTCCGATTGGTTACAAATGGGTTTTCCGTGTTAAGCGCAAACCGGATGGGTCGGTTGATCATTTTAAAGCGCGGCTTGTCGCTAAGAGATTCTTGCAGACTGCTGGCCGGGATTATTTTGAGACATATAGCCCAGTTATGAAACCGGTCACGGTCCGTATCGTTCTGACCATTGCTTTGAGTAATAGCTGGGGTCTGTGCCAGCTAGATATCAATAATGCGTTCCTTAATGGAACATTGCATGAGGAGGTTTTTATAGAGCAGCCTCCCGGGTTTGTTGATCCGTCTTTTCCAGCTCATGTATGCAAACTGGCCAAAGCCTTATATGGTCTTAAACAGGCTCCCAGGGCTTGGTACTTGGAACTTTCCCAGTTCTTGTTGCGTTGTGGGTTTTTGAAGTCACAGGCAGATGCATCTTTGTTTGTTTATTCTGCTAATGATATTATTGTTTATTTCCTGGTGTATGTCGATGATATTATACTAACAGGAAATAATGTTGCATGGCTTGATCAATTTGTTGAAACTCTGGTAGCTCGCTTTGCCCTTAAGGACCTTGGTCCCTTGCATCACTTTCTAGGTGTTGAGGTTGTTTCAACACCCACTGGCATGTTCCTGTCTCAGAGTCAATATATCACAGACATACTGGTTCGTTTTGAGATGGATGGTGAAAAAGCTGTTTCAACGCCACTTGCAACATCAGACAAGTTACTCCCTGCGCAATCCGGTATTGATACGGTGGATGTAACTCAGTATCGGCGTCTTCTTGGCTTGTTGCAGTACCTGGTCATCACTAGACCTGATGTGTCCTATGCAGTTAACCGGCTCTCACAGTTCATGCATATGCCTACGGAGGTGCAGTGGCAAGCTGCGAAACGGTTGTTACGCTACCTGAAGGGTACGGTGTACCATGGGTTGTACCTCCGTGCCGGGCAGCCTCTCTCACTAAGTGTGTATACGGATGCTGATTGGGGTGGCTGCACTACCAGTGGGCAGTCCACTACCGATTATCTATTGTATCTTGGGACCAATCTCGTCTCTTGGAAATCCACTCGTCAAAAATCAGTTTCGCGCTCGTCTACAGAAGCCGAATATCGAGCCTTGGCGAATGCTGCTGCAGAAGTTTTGTGGGTTAAGAATTTGTTGCATGAGCTTCGACTGCAGCTGTTGGGGCCTCCGGTTCTACTATGTGACAACCTCAGCGCTACGTATGTGTGTAAGAACTCAGTGTTCCATTCACGCATGAAGCACCTCGCGCTCGACTATTTCTTTGTTCGGGACTTGGTTGCTAATGGTTCGTTGGTGGTTCGGCATATTTCTTCGTCGGCTCAGCTTGCTGATTTTCTTACAAAGTCGTTGGGCCGTTCGCTGTTTCTTCGGTTCCGTTCCAAGATTGGAGTTTCCGATGGCTCCTCCATCTTGAGGGGGCGTGTTAAGGATATCTGTGGCTGACATATTTTTGTATATAATTAAATCTAGTTGCATTCCTTTTATGTAGCATTGTTAGACTGCTTGTTACAACAACCTGCTAACTACTCACTATCTTCTCTCTCTTGTATGCTATTTAAAGCTGATTGTTTTACATCAATAATATTAATTAAGTTCATAATCTATTAGAATCCAGCACAGTACCCCATAGCTTGTCGTAATGTACGGCCAGCCCACAATTATATTTTATCTGATGGAACAGCTCTACTCCGGAAGACCCTGTGTGCTACATGTGCTTTGATTGGCTGCGGAATAATAATAAGCCGCCACGTATAAATGTTTTATTTTTTATTTTAAAAGTACACACACAGGTTCTGTTTTCAAGATTGGATGGCTATGCCGCCCTGCGACTAGTTTTGCTTGGAAAGTTGAAACACCCGATTCCTACTATTGGTGCGAACTTCTCTCCGGTACAGAAGTGCATTTTGGATACTTATATTTTAGGGAAAATAACATTTTTCCTCCTTAAGTTATATACTTATAGCACTTTTTTCCCCTCAATTATTTAAGTGGTTCTTTTTCCCCCTGAAATGTTAAATGGACATATTTACCCTTAAAATAAATATTTAAAATAAATATTTCATTTATTTTTATTCTCCAACAAATTATTACTATAATTTGGTTCAAACCAAACAGATACTATAGCAACCAAACCAAAATATTCCAATTACAATTTATAATCAAAACATGATATTTAGAGTTTATTAAAATCGCGAACTGGAATGGCCGGTTCATGTTCCGAACTGAAAAAATAAAATACATTTATTGTTGAATTTAGACTATTTTAAAATAAAAAATAAAATTTTAAAATAAAGACGGTTCAAAATCGCGAACGGGATCGTTCATGATCCAGATTTTTTTTTTAATTCTTAAATTTAATAAATTGAAATCTAAATATTGGGTTCTAGATCTGAATCATAACTGAAAACTTTTAATTCGATTGTTATAGTGTCTGGTTCAGTTCGAACAAAACCGTGGTAATCGCTACATATACGCAATAATTTGTTGGAAAAGTAAAATAAATAAAATGTTTACTTTAAGGGTAGAAATGTCAATTTAATATATTAGGGGGAAAAACCACCACTTTTAAAATAATTGACGTGGTTAATGTGCTTACATAAATAATTGAGGGGGAAAAAATGCTATAAGTATATAACATAGGGGGAAAAAGTGTCATTTTCCCTATATTTTATATATACAAGAGCTTAATTTCTAGTGTCTTCTAACATGGATAGCGATACTAGCTAGAGCCGGGCCGGTGAAGCGGGCCCGCCAGAATTCGCCATATAACTGGGCAAGCTAAAAAGTCTATCAAAATATGGGTTTAAAATAGATTGGTTCGATCCGGTTTGTTGGTTTTGAGGGACCTGTCAAATTTAAAAAGTTTTAAATTTGAATAAAAGTTACTAAGTATATACTAAAATAATTAGAATAATTTAAATATATATTAATGCATTTGTGATTTGTTGACGCAATAATAATTAATATAGTAATAAGTCCTAATAAATAATCAAATACATAATATGTGAATTTATAAGGTAATAACAAATAATTTATACAATGTACTACATACTAATAAATTTTTTCAATATAAATAAATAAATTAACATATATATATATATATA